CGCCTGGTCATTGCTGGCCTATGAAGACACATCTTCCCCTGGGCGCATTCTCTGACAACACCCTCAACCCCAACAAGACAGAGCAAGCCCAACGCCCCTTCCCATGCTCACCAACATCTCTTCCTACCAATATCAGAGCACACACCACATCTCATTACTAGTTCTTTGTCTATTTTCCTTACACACAGCAAAAAGCAACTTGAGGGACATGATTTAGTTTTATTCATTTTCTATCTCTAACAACTGGCACCAAATCTAATGTAAAATCAGTGCTTACTATTAGGTTATAGGGACATCATGACTTTCTTTTTTTATGCAAAAATGTGTCATGATTTTCTTAATGCCCCAATGCATACGTGGCAAAAATCCCCATAGACAAATTTATAGGCGAGTGATAATAAAGTAATGAGACTGTTTAACAGTATCCATTCAAATGAAAATTGTCCTTTAAAGCTGTCACCTTTGGAGACTGGGCATTGATTCAAACAATGCTGGCATTTCTCAAAATACTTTTGACCTTTCCTTGGGGAAAGGCTCTTAGAGCCAACTTCCTTAATTATGTAAGAAATTAGGTCCTATTACTTTTTAATCCAAGCTCACTTTAACTCTTGAAAAGTATGTCACCCTTCCTGATCATCTAACCTTACTAACCAAACTCAATCCTTGAATATTTGACTATTTCTGTAGGAAGAATAAAATAAAATCTCCAAAAAGGAGGGGGAAAAAACGACTTTCACAAATGAACAAAAACATTCCCTCCAAAAAGAGTAACTCAAAAGGCTACTCTAAGAGCAAAAACTGAAAGTACTGAATGAGTGGATTGTCTGCCAAGAGAACGCTTCTAAAGGCACAACTCTCACGTGGTAGACTAGCTCTCGGCTGCTCATTAAACTCACTCTCATCTGTGAAGTTGTTAGAACAGAGTACACCAAGAGTATTATGTGCAATAAGCACCCAGGCCCAGTGGAGTTGGTATGTGGCTGAACTGAATTAGATGGCTGAGAGTGAGGGATACACAGAGAAGCCAACCAAGACAGGGAACCTGGAGGTCCCACTGTTCTCCTAGAAATGAGTCCTCTGCTGTCGCCATGATACAGGCTCATGATAAGTGTCACCCCAGCATATGGTGCCATCACTCCCAACCTGGGGAGACAAAAACATTGTACCCCTCCATAGTTCCAAGCCCACATGGCCAGTGTTCCCTCCTCTATCCACTGCCATCCCCAGGAAACTCACCTTAAAATCCAACATAATGTCATGAAGCTGGAATCTCTTATCCAAGTCCAGCTGCAGAGAGACAGGGCTGACATCTGGAAGGACAAAAAGTAGGAACTTTAGGCTAGAGGTTTTCCACCTTCCCAGCCCTGAAAAAAAAGCCCTGGATTAGACTATCAGGAAGGAAACTGACAGAAGTCAGAAACTCTCTAACCTTGATTCTCTGATTTCCTTCTTGGAGAGGACAAGCACCAGAATGTCTCTACTTATATTTGCTACTTATATTTGCCCTATTTGTCATACAATAGGGCAGCAATAACCAATGATGTTCTGTGAGGCTGAATCGCATGAGAAGGTTCTGGGTTCATGTCTGGAAACATCCCTGACTGAACAAGGCATGTGTATGCCCGGGATCCAGGGCTGGTTGAGGCTAGAGGTAGATCAGAGCATCAATGCCCTATCGGGGTACTCTCTCTCTCTCTCTCTCTCCTCCTCCTCACAGAAGAAATAAATAACCATCACCTGATGCCTCTAATAATTTAGAGGGTTTCACTAGTCAGTTTGACACAGACTTGTTCCCAAAGCTCATTCCCTCACAACCCTACCCACTGAGATGAAGCAGAACGACATAAAGGCATTCTTCTCACCTCCCACCCCTTCCTTAACATACAGGGACCTCTTCTACCTATAATATCCAACATACCCCAAATACAGAGGCAAAAAGGCTCTGCTTGCTCACCACCCACGTCTACCACCTTAAGAAATGCCTAAGAAATCCCCAGAGTTTGAGGCTCCCTGCATCCAGCCCCATCTTGTGGCACCTCCACAAGTTTGGGCCACCATAAGTAGTATGCTCCTACCGTTCTGTGACTGCCACCAACGTGTGGGGCCTGAGGAGGAAGCCACGTTCTCCACTCGGTGACTGTTGTAATTGTGAGGCAGCCTGGAGTCACACTTGCAGCATTTTATCTGCCACTGCAGGAGAGGGGACAATAAGAGACTCAGACAAGGTCCTGACAGAATATCACTTGTGTCCTGAGAACCAGCACATCCGCTCCCTGCAAAGCCTGCCCTTAGGGATGGGCTGAGTTCATTAATAGACCAGGTGGGGTTAATCTCTTCAGACAGGTTAATGGGCATCTTTTAACTTAATCCCTTTGTGTTCCACCTATCAGCCCTGCTGACTAGACCAATGTCTTAGAATGAGCATCTCCAAACTGAGTAAATGCACTCTACAAATCAGTCCCAAAGATATTAAGTTAATATGCCAGGCCTATGCCTTGAATCAGAAAAACTCTTTGCCTACCACTCATCTTCCTTCTCCACAGCAGACAATGTTTGGAACAGCAGAGAACCAAGAAGGGGGCCCAGAAGTCCTAACTTCCACTCTACTTTCCCACTCACCTCCTAACTGCAAAATAAGAGAACTGTCCCTCAAATCGGTCCTTGGAGGCATCCCCATCATGTCTAAAAGTGCTTTATTAGACATTAGTTCTTTGAGCATTTAATGCTCAAATAATGGCTGACACGTGTGCGCTCTGTAAAATAGACCCACTGCCACCTCCCCACCGTATCCCACCCTTGTCATCACTGTCCTTGCCTGTTACATTCTTCTTCATGGCACGTATCTCTACTTCACATGGTGTGAATGTATTGGTTTGTTGTGTTTCTTCTTTTGGAATGTATACTCCATGAAGACAAGAACTGTTATATTCCTAGTGCTTAGAAAAGTGCTGACACAATAGTAGGTCCTCGTTAAATATGTATTGAGTGAATGAGTAGCAAATGTCAGCTGTTTTCATGAACATTATTGCTAGATACTCCCTTCTTGCATTCAAGCCGGTTTTTTGTTTGTTTCTTTGTTTTGTGTGTGTGTGTGTGTGTGTGTGTGTGTGTGTGTGTGTTTTAAGAGGTTTTTGCGCTCGCCAGAAAGACAGAGAAACAGAAAGCAAGAAATCATCCCCCCGCCCCCCCAGGAGGGATGACCATGCCGCAATCCCTTCTCTTCCATTCTCCTCTTGGGATCTTGGGCACGCATGAGCCCGTGTGAGTTTAAGCCACCGGGTCCAGGACTCAAACCACCACAGTTGACTACATGGGAGTCCAATGACATAACCATTATGTCAACTGCTGGTCCCACATTCAGGCAGTTTTAAAGGAAAGGTTGGCAGTGAGGAGGTAATAAAGTATTGCTATTAAGTGATGGAGTGCCCACCAGTGCCAGGTACTGTACTAGGAAGATGCAGTACAGTAACCTATTTAAACCTCACAATAATCCTATATGGTAAGTGGTATTAGTTCCATTTATAGGTGTGAAAGCTGAGACTCGAAGAGACTACAAGATTTTCCTGTAAACTGATCACCAACATAAGCACAAGAGAGGGTCCCTACACCCCTCCTTCCTTTCTCTCCCTCTTCTTCCCTCCCTCTCATCTCCTCATTTCTACTAGGAAACCAGCTGGGTGACAGACATTATAGGAAGCATGGTGAAGGGTAATGATCTCTGTCTTGTCCCATAGGCCCCCAGGAGGGCTTGGCCTGCCCTGAAGCTTTTTGTGGGGGAAGCCTAAGATGGAGAGAGCACTTTGGGAAAAACTCCAACCTCTCTGACCAACGCAGGTCAGTTACCACTGAGACTGGATATGAATCCTGACTGAAATACCCAAGCACTTAAAATAGTTCTTTCTGGGCAAGAAGAGGCTCTTGCTGGAGTCTGATCCCCTCTGGAAGCCTATTTTGATCCCTGGCAGTGAGCATGCCCTGCTCAGTGCTCTGCTCAGGCTCTCAGGGACAAATTTTTCCATTCCCCATCCTCTGTCCACACCCAGCACATGTCCTGAGAGAGACAAGGCCCAGCTGCCTCCGTGCAACCTGTCACCAGGGCTCTTGCCCCAGCCCTTCCCTAGCCATAAAGATGCCAGAAACAAGGCTCCTTCTTAGGGCCAGGGCACAGACTGCAGAAATGACCTGATATTGTCAAAAAATGGACTATTACATGATTATTTAAAACACTGGTTAGAGAAAAAATTTAATTGTAGGAAGGAATAATTACATTATAATGTTTTATGAAAGAAAGTTGAGCATAAACTTGTATATATGTTATTTCAAATCACAACATATTTTAAAATTCACTTTAAAAGTTTTGAAGGAAATATGCCAACATAGAGTGGGAAATCCTATAAAAGTGCTGATATTGGGACCAGCAGTTAGCATAATGGCTATGTCACTGGACTCCCATGTAGTCAACCGCGGTTGGAGTCCCGGACCTGATGGCTTAAACTCACGCTGGACACGTGTGCGTGCGTGCCCAAGATCCCGAGAGGAGAATGGAGGAGAAGGGATTTTGTTGTGGCCATCCCCCCCCGGGGGGGGGGGGAGCAGTGATTTCTCGCTTTCTGTGTCTCTCTCTCTCTCTGCCTTTCTGACGAGCGCATGCGCCCTATAGCAAAAACCTCTCAAAAAAAAAAGTAAAAAAAAAAAAGTGCTGATATTCAGCCATTGTGACCTATGAAATCGCAACTGCATACAGTTCACTCTAGTACCTCTGTGTAGTGGGTTTATAAGAGATTCTCCTGCTTTGTTATTTTAAAAATATGTTTAAACTTTTATACCTCAAATATATATTCATTTCTTAAAAATTATTGCTAGAAGGCAAGTGAGAGACAGAGAGGGAGAAAGCACCCCCATGGAGTGTGGTCACACCACAATCCCTTCTCCATTTCTTCATGACACATACATGACTGGGATTCAAATACTGTAGTCAGCCATGTGGGATCCAGCTCCCTTAACACTAGGCCAGGAGCCCAGTTCTATATTAACGTTCATATTCAGAAATATAGACAGTACTATAAAATTAAACTAAGAACATCCCATAGGCTGAATACAAGCCTACTCCCCCAGTCTTCGTGGTGATTGCCTGAAGTCACTCAAGCCTTGTCCACATTCGCCCCACGTGCGCAGGGCCTGACGGCTTTGAAAACTATGTGCAGCTCTCACAGTAACATAGCTAAAGGAAGGATTGATCTCAGTCCTTAGGCACAGGCTCAGCCAACAGGCTGGAGACAAGTATTTTAAGTATCTCTGCTTGTCAACTATCTAGCATGAAGGAAGCCTGAAATAGAGCAGCTTATGGCAGAAGCCTGGCAGAAGCCCACATGAAGACAAGCTGCCAATTTCTTCCTTCCTTTGGGCCTCAGTTTCCCTTTCTATCTTATTCCTGTATTATACATGGTATTGTACATACATAGGTGAGCCTAAATGTATGTATGCATGGTGTGATCCTCAGTGGAAGGCTCTTCCTCTCACATGTGGTATATGCCTCCGTCTCTCCCAGCTGCAGCTGTGTCCCACTCCAGGGTTACTTGGCCAGCATTCTCCTGGCTGTGCTGCCCTAGAGACACAGCACCATTATCAATTCAGCCTGTCAGGCCTCCAGCCAGTTTGGCTTCAACCTACACTCCAGCTGGAAAGGCTGGACCTTGTCCCTTATCATGGAGTTTTCTAGAAGCTCAGCAGTCTGGCTGGAAGACAAACCCTCCCGGAGAGCCAAGGGAGGGCAAAGAAACAGGCAGGAGCCAGTAGAGTCCTGAAGCACAGCAGAGAGGGGTGGAAGAGGAAGCTGCATGTAAATCAAAGCTCTGTGCCTTTGCAGAGCACAGAGCTATTAGGTCATCAAGAAAGTCATGACGTATTTTTCTGTTTTTCTATGCAAAAATGCATCATGACTTTCCCAATGACCAATAATTCTGGGGGAAGTGGGAAAACAGGCTCTGGTTATACATGGCACAGCTCCCTCCAGTGGGTGAGCTGGGGGATACCTGTGTCCATCCAAGATGACACAGTCATGGTTATGGCCACCAGCCAGGGTCAAAAGAAAGGAAGCCAGGACAAAAAAAAAAAAAAAAACAAACCCCAGCTACTTTCAAGACTTCCTCCATTTCAGCTTCCTTATTAGTAAAATAAGGAGTTAGGATTCAGGGATTATGACCACTGAAGACCCTCTGCCCAGACTTCACCCTCCTGCCCCCCAGATTTAGCTAAGAGCCAGACAAGCCAATCAGCAGCCATCTGTATTTGAGTTCTGAGCAGCCCCATTCAGGGATTATGACCACCAAAGACATTCTACCCAGACTTCACCCTCCTGCCCCACCCCCCAATTCTAGCTAGGAGCCAGGTTAGAGCACCCTACTTATTCTCTCTGTCTCTCTCCATCTCTCTCTCTCTCTATTTAATTTTTTTTTTAATTTTTAAATTTCTTTCCTCTCTGCCACTCTTTTGTCTTGCTAATTCCTACCTTTCTTCCAGACCCCATAGGACAAGCCAATCAGCAGCCATCTCTATACTTGAGTTCTGAGCAGTTTTCATTTCTTGACAAAAAAAAATTTTTTTTTCTTTTTTTATTGTTTTTGTCTTTTTTTCTTCCTCTTCTTTGGTTTTTCCTCTTTCTTTTTTTCTTTTTTTTTTTTTTTTTTTTTTTTGCCTTTCTCACTTTTCTGCTCAGCCTCCACACACTGATTTTCTAGACAGGTCTGGTACTCAGTAGCCAAATATCTGAATACTTTTAGGGTCAGATTAATTTTTAATTTTCATTGAATCAGCTGTGCAAAGGGAGAAAAACAGTGCTTTTTAAAGACTGCAGTTTGCCTCCTCCTGCATTCTTCTGAATGCTCAGATTTAACTCCAAAAACTAGGAAAACAATGTATAATCTACCAGATTACCAGAAACCACCACAGAGGCACAAGAAATATGAGAAACCAAGAAAATATCTCTCCTCTAAGGGAAAAGAATAGCTCCTCTTCCTCCACAGAGAATCTGAAAGAGAAGATAGACATCATAAAAAAAAGAATCATACTGAATTGTTAGAGATGAAGACTGGAATACAGGAAATCAAAGCTTCCCTTCAAAATACCAAACACAGATTAGATCATGCAGAAGATCGAATCTCAGATGTAGAAGATAGAATCTCTGACCTAGA